CTTGCTCTCGCCCCGCCCCCGACGCCGCACCCATCCAGCCCGCGAGCCCCCAACCCCCGTGATGCAGGCGCGCGAGCTGCACGCTTGCGGCCACTCTTTCCACGAGGAGTGCATACTGCCCTGGCTGCTCATGTCGGCCACGCCGCGCTGCCCAAACTGCAGAGAGGTGGCCGACCTCGACGGCTTCGAGGAGGCCCTTGCCGCGGCCGGCGCGCCGCCGGTGGCGCGCCGCCCAGTACGTCCCCAGCCGGTGCGGCCATATGAGGTTGGGGAAACGGAGCAGTGGGAGGCGCCCGTCTAATGCTTCAGTATCTCTTGTTTGTTCGCAGTTCCGAGTTCGGACATCGGAGGCCCCGGGCCTCGCGGCCCCGCGCGGCGACCGCGTTAGCTCGGCCCGGTCGAAACGTTGCTAAAAACTGTACTTTTTGTGAGATAAACTACACTACACCGGGCGGAGGCGTTTCGACGCTCGCAGCCCAGCACGAGCAACTCAGCGCCCTCAACAGGCGGCAGTCCCACTCGCAGCGGGACGGCTCCTCGCCCATCCCCGCTCCTCCGCACGCCACAAAATCAAAGATGTCGGTGTGAGGCAAAGGCAGCCCGCTCTCCGAGAGGTCTGGCTCACACCGTACACTCATATTGACACTCGAGCCGGTCCCGGAGCGGCTCTCGAGAAAGCGACGAAGGGAGCGCCTGCGCTCGATGGCTGAGGGCGATCGAGTTGGCGGTGCCGAGTGCGAGTCGACGCTTCGAGCAAGGAGGGAGGAGATGGAGAGGCAGTCCGAGTGAGAGTCCCCGTGGTACTCGCATTCGGTGCTCGATAGCATGGGCGCCGATGCTGATCTGACAAGTGTGCGGCTGCAGCGCGAGTCCCAGTTCACCTCCTCGATGTTGCCGAGATTGCCAACAAAGTCGGCGAGCGTCTGAACCATGCGCGACGGCGTCGAGCGTGAGTGTTTGCGTTAGCGGGGTGGGTCGAGGCCGGGCACGCGGGTGTAGAGGTTGTTCTGCGCCTCGTCGTCGTTGACGAGCGCCCGTGGCGGCGTAGCGCACGCGTCGAGTGCGGCGGGTAGCGAGAGCCGCTGGGCGAGTGCGGCAAGGCGCTCCCGCTCCGGCACGGAGTTGAGATGCCACTCGAGGAGCAGGTGGGTGGGGAGGCAGAGCGCGCCGGTGACGAGCAGATGCGGGATGAGACGGTACTCCGCGCCCTCCACATCCAGCTTGAGCAGCGCACACGACTTGCCCGCTAGCTTGTCCCACATCAACCGAGCGAGGTCAACTGAGCGAATTGTAATGGCCTTGGACCTCCCGAAGCTTGTGTGGTGGTCGTAATAAAACACCACCACGTCGGGGTCACGGCGCGGCGGCGAACATCGGTTATGAGTAACGACGTCCCCGGGCAGCCCCGGCCCGGGC